AAGAAAACGTTACATATAAATAACATATTATTTACGATTGTAAATATTATATATCAAACGTAATATAAATTAAGAAAAAAATATATTTCAATTGCTTTTTTATATTCTTTGCACTTTTACAACAGTCATTTAATAAGAATAACACAACATAAAGTATTAATTTTATTAAATTTTCCTCTTTAGTGAAAATGATAACGAATTAAGGCATTAATAAAAATTACAAAAATCTCATCTTCAGAAATAAAGATGATTACGAAAATATGATAACTATGTTTTGCAAATGTTTACCATGTGATGTCATAATTTGTCGCTTTCATAATTTTTATTCGTCGCGAACTACATTCCCCTGAATGGATCCATTGTTTATTCACATGTCTGGCATCGAAGTTCTATTCATCTCGTTTCGCATTCGAGCAGGAACAATGATTATAAAAATATGATGAATTCGGGGAAATCCCTAATCTCGCTGTCAATAATACACTGATATTAAAAACAAAAAAAACGCATCAACAGGTTTGAAAAGTATTCAAAGTTGAGAGTCTACTCACTATAAAATTAACATAATAATGGCTGAAGGCCTCACCTTCGTCAGCGCTCCATCCGCACGAGTTGCTCGCACCATTCTCGCTGTTTATTTATTATCAAACATTCAATGAAAATCGATGTTAGTGCCGTGTCAGGATTATCTTCACAGTATATTTATTACATTTCACGCAACTCGACAAACAATCGCGAGTTTCTCCTTTTTAATCGTCTTCCGACGAGAATTTCAATCGTTGATGAACAAAAAACTCTCGATAAATTTCTGATGTCCGATTCCATCGATATAAAATTAACTTTAATCTTAGTTTGATTTACTCTTTATCTTTTTCTATTTTTAACGACCATTTTTACCAATGTAGTTTAATTATAATTTCGGTTCAACTAATTTAACTCTTCATCTTTTTCTATTCCTAAATAAGAGAAAAAAAAAAAAATGAAATGTTGAACCGATATTAAAATTGATCTACATTAGTAGAAACGGACATTAGAAACACAAATATTCTATAAACAGTAAATTAAACCGAGAATGAAGTTAATCTTACATTGATGAAACCGGGCCTGAGTCGCGCTTACTTCAAAACGATGCCCTTTGCCGCCGCGTATTGCCGAATTTTTCGTAGCACTTTGATCGGAACTCATTAGAAATATTTAAAACAATCATAAAATGCTGAATACCTATCATGAAACGTTCACGATCACGTCACTCCCGGCGCGACTCGATTTCTAAACGCGATCGACGGCGCTCGTCGTCTACGCCTCGCTCGATCCAGCCAATCGATCATCCGAATGCAGTCGTATCGCGTCACTCGTTGAAGCTATAGATATCGTTTCTCAATTATTACCACGATGATTCACCTCGTGCTGGATAACGGGCGCTATTAGTACCTTTTCGGAGTTTCCTCTCGCGCGTTGAAATCACCGAGAATTGTTATTCCAAGAGATTTCCGGAAGAGAACCGGACGCGAGAGCTACAACGCGGTACCGATGCTGTCACGCCGATGACTGGAAATATACACGGCGTGCACACACCTAATGTTACTTAATACGCGATTTGCGTAGTACGCGGCCACGCACCGCCTCCGTACACCTGCCGACGCGGATCACCGACGGAAAGGAAAAAAAAAAAAGAAAAAAAATAAATAAAAGTTTTATCGCGCCCGGATCAGAACGGCGCGGCTGAAGGAGCGCGCCGTTTATATCGGTCATTTATCCGCGTATGTAAATTCGCCGCAGATCCGCATGACCCATGCATTTATCTCAATTTAAATTGTAATTAACTTTGAAGAAATTGCATTGCGCTTTAATTACCGCGCTAACTCCTTACAGCCCTTTTTTGTACAATCTTTTGATTTATTTTTTTTCTTTTTAAGAATACAGAAATCCGGGTTGTTTTATTTTTATTGTATCTCTTTTCATACTTATCTCAATTTACACACAATTAATTTATATGCATCTTTTTTTTTTACTTTACTAAGCTTTTTAATAAGCTTATATGTGGATAAACGAGATATGTGGTAATAACGTATGTAAATATATGAATGACACTAATTAATATTAATTGGTATGTATATACAAAAAAAAAAACAAAGAATACTTTTTAATTTGTAGTATTATATAACAAATGTTATAATTTATAATAATGAAAATATTTAGGAAGTAATTAATAGATTGGGTCTAACAAATATCTTTCTTCTCCCTTTACTTTTTAAAATTTATTTCTGTGTACTAAGAATCTAAGAATTGCATTGTGCGTCAATGGTAAATATAACAATGGTCCGTAAAATTAAAAATTCTGGAAATTGTAAGTTGCAAAAGATTTCCTCTCTAATCTCTAGAGTAGTCTAGAGAATAGCGATCACCTGGAGATCACCTGGAGTGAGTTTTAGCCTAGCAGCGAGAAAATAAAATTCAGCCATGATAATGTTAAATCAGAGCGAAGTGATAGTTTTATACCCAATTTATTGTACATAACACTGAAATAAGTAAAATGATACACATGACAAAGACATGTCACACACCCACACGTCGCACACACGCACATTTATGCTCGCACATACACACATCCTCGGAAATCGTTGCTTATTTATTTATGGATACGATTTATAGAGGCTTACAAATCATAAAGCAGTGATAAGGTAACCCTAATCTTAAATGGAAGCATAAATCATTTATCACTTTTCCGTCTAATGGCTAGACTTCGTTACATATCGTTCGATGATATTTTCCATCCCTTAAATGTCTAATGCATTTCGTGTTATACAAATAAATATGTATGGTTTTTTATATGCTAGAAAATTATAAACTAAATCGCTGATTATTTAATTTTTGTCTTATCAAAATAGAACTAGAATCGAATCGTCAAATCGATTCGCTTAACGAACGGCAGATATGTCAGTTCTCGTTGTATACTATTCGAATATCTTTTTGTTCGCGCGCATGCGAACATCCGACAATGATATCCGAAGTGCACAGATTCCTGGCACTCTTGCGTGAGAACTGACGGTAAGACGGAAGTTATACTTATTGCCAAAAAAATCTTATAACTACAATATAATTTGATTAAGATTGAACTTAACTAACATATTAGAAATGAGCACGAGACCATCGCATGACGCGGTATATATAAAACATTTGTCTAATTATTTAAACAATCATTAAAACAATAATAAAAACAGCTAATTCCTCCTAAAAGTAAAAATCAAAATAAACCGCATCAGCACCAATGTTTCCTTGAGAGCGCGTCGATTTAATTTGGAGAATTAATCTACTAAAACTCTCTCGTGCTCGCGAGACGCACTCTCGGTCTCTCACTTGCAAAAATGCCCTGATTTCATAAACAAGACTCATAACATGGAATCCCGCGGAAGTAACAACGCGTGCGTTGTGTGAGGCAGTGATGTCAAGTAGCGTTTCCGCATAATTCTGGCATGCTTTAATTTAAAGCGAATCTTAGGTAACAGTTATATAGTTTATACAGCAGTTTTGGTATCTATCAAAATCTGACAGTGGGTAATTCAGGACACATAATTGGTATCTCTCTTATAAATTTCAGTATGTCGTCGAGTAATATATATCTTCGAACAGCGTCTTGACAACTCTGTAGGCACATTCCTGCTTTAAAGTCGAAAATACATGTGTTCAGATACGTACTGAAAAACCGATTAGAAATTCTCATTGTCTCTGAATACACATTTCTCTTAAATACAGCTGTGAGTATATAACGTGATTTTATAAGATATATACGTACTTATTTATGTAGTCGAAATGCAACTTGCTTGCAAGAGAACGTTTCCATGTATGGACAAAAAATATCTGAGAGAAAGAGTGTCGAGCAATATTACATTTCGACTATCCGGTTATCTGTTATAAATAATTAAAAGATATTTGCTTGCTAGCATGGCCTACTGAACACTTGGGTAGTTTGGAGCTTTCGTGAGTGATTTACAATCACTCTTGCTTATGTCTATTTTTTCCTACTGCGTTCTGTAAGTAAAATCAATATTATCTATATGTATTTACATAAATGATACATTAATGCATGTAACGTAAGGAACAAGTATAGAATACTCATTCGGATGGAAAGTCCATGTTTTGCAGTAACATTGTTACCATGGTAACTTGTTCTCATCTTGTACTATTTTGACTTTTCATTGATTCAATATATATAACGTAAACAATATCTTTCGCAAGAAGACATTAGATTTGTACCTCAAAGAGTTGCATTTATCGTTTTGATAACATGAACGTATAGTAAAGGATACAATGTATCAGTTAAAAAACAAAGCCATCCAAAAAATATTCATTTAAATATAAACTCAACTACGTAGGCATTCATCTCTTTCAATAGATCTAACATCAATACCTTACAATAAGAACAACCTGTGACCTGGAGTTAAAAATACATTCAGGATATAAGTCCGCATTTGCAATTGTAATATTTCATGCCTTCCGCTTTCAAGTTACTGAATAACAATGGTTATTCTCATTCTAAAATACTGATACACGTGATTATTTAACAAAATGTTCTTTCATTCCGGACAATATAAACTATATTGTAATCGAATTTGCAATATATAGGAACTTTCATTGTGTAAATGCAATTCCATTGTAGTGTTATATACTCCATCCCTACAATCATTTTACTTAGGCAAACTATTTCTTACATTATTGCCATGGAAACGTTATTACTGCTGAAAATATTTTCTCCTAACAATATATACGGTATATACGGTATATATGGAACGAACTTTAAGCAGCGGAGCGGTTGTGGTAGCATTTCTCGAAACTTTTCTTATTAAGAAAGTAATTAATGATAATCAGTAAATATTGATAGATTTCCCAGATATAAAATAAGCTTATATTATTAGAGACGTATGTATAAATCTTCAGATGTAAAAATATTATCAAGAGAAATCCTGTGTTTAGCTTCTATTATATAATATAGAACAAGTTCCTCAAGATTCAAGTATTTAATTTGGATATTTCCAAAATTTTCAAAGCTTATCTTTAGCTACACCACAGTACAAATTATGCTCTTGTCATATAAATAAAGAATAACACGATTGCTGCATCTCAATAAAAATTCAGATTGAAGATTTTAAAACTGATAGAAATTTTATAAAAATTGATACATGAATAATCCCTCAATGTAAAAAATATATTTTTCAATAAATCTGTAGCTAATTGAAGCAATCTATAATAACTAGTTGAGAAATGTACTTTCTTATGGATTATATTTAATCTATCGATATTAAAAAATGCTACTGTATGTGCTACCAAATACCTGCCACGTCGCTGTTAAATCATAATCTATTAATTGATATTTTTATGCACAATATATAGATATAAAAAAGATTTGCTAAATGTAACTGCTGGATATCCAATGTAATAATATGGATACTGTATCCATTCCCTAACTATTCCCTCTAAATTATAAAACCCCTCCCTGAGGATCATGAATATCCAGCAGTTGGGCAAAAATGCTATCTACTAGTCTAATAGTAATGGTTAGCCTATTTCAATCATCTCTGCATCTTCCACGTTGTTGTGACCAACTACATTGTACCTAGAAAATTATCGTCATCCTCTTTTTAACTCGATAATTTTATAACATAAAATCATCACTATAAAAGAATTAATTTAAAAACAGAATTTGTAACTTTTTTATTCTTACGTGTGATTTGGTAAATGGGTATTGTGAAAATGAAGATGCGTTGTCCGAGGTGAAAAACCGCGAGTTGCTTTGCGAGGACTTCTAGCTTTTATGACTCGTGGTGATGACATGGTACTTAAATAGGATTGTTGAAGAAATAAATCTTCCATTATACTTGGAGCTACATATGTAAATCCCTGAAGAAAGTTATATTATTAAGAAATGTTATCAGACACATCATGACTTATTAACACACTTGCCTGTTTCAATTAATTTATTAACTTTAAATATTTTTCTACTTCTAAGAATTAGAGAAAGATAAAGAGTAAGTTGAATCAAAATTTGAGTTAATCCACTTTGGTGAAAACGAGTATTAGACACATATATGTATAGCGATTTTGTCAAGTCCTACGAGAAAAATATACTTTCTCTCTGTATACATATACTATTTCGCTTTACAATCTTAAAGCCATAAAATAAGACAGTATAAGTTAAAATGAGTATATGTATATATATATAGAGAAGTATACATAACTTTCTCATAAGACTTTGGCAAAATCACTTGTAGACATTTTTTGTTATAAAATGTTTATGTCCCTAGACATACAAATTAAGAAACTAAACTCACCTGAAATAGCCCATCAGCTGACTCGCTCAAAGTGTAATCTACTGGAGAGTCTATTGGTGCTGAAGTAGTAAATTTCTTATCAAACTGTGATACATCTTCTTTGCTAGACAATTTTGGTCTAAAAGGAGGTTTTAACTGTCGAGATATAACGTCGCTCCAATTGATATGTTTGAAGAATTTGTGTGCCTTTACTTCTTCACCATCCGACTGAGCTGATCCCAATCTTTGCGCAACTTGTCTCTATACAGAAAATTACTTTTGTTATAATAAATTTTTCTCAAAATAACATCGCTTTTAAGAATATTATCGGTAAGATTAATTTATGAACACTAACCTTCAATAATTTTCGAATAAGATCTTTAGCATCGGCAGTTAAATATGCTGGGAGAGATAATTTGCCACGTAGAATTCTGTCGATAGTTCTCTTCCTGCTATTTGAGCTAAATGGTGGCTAAAAATTTAGCAAATAGTAATATAAATTAATATATGCATTTAACAGATTGAAGAATTGAAGGACTCTTCCTATTAATATACGCATTTTTTGAGCTCATATGACGTATTACAAACAGTACGATACAGTTCATATGTAATGACAATACATACTGCTCCTGTAAGCATGTCATACGTCAAACTTCCTAGACTCCACCAATCTACTGCTTTCCCGTGTCCACTTCTCGTTAAAATCTCAGGTGCCCTTTAATAAAATAGTACAACAATCAGTACAAATTATAATTATAAAATTTCTTAGCAATATATATTCTATGATATTTACATATATTCGATAGTTCCGCAAAATGTATGCGTAAGAGCACCTTCTTGTATATGCTCTTTACATAATCCAAAATCAGTTAACTTAATATGCCCATCTGCATCCAATAAAATATTTTCTGGTTTCAAATCTCTGAAATAATTCATTACAAGCGTCATAAACTAAATGCCGCATACAAACAAAACGTTTAATATATATCAATTAAATTGAAGCCTTAAATTATATTTTAATTCTTGATGTAGAGAACTTATAAAGAAAAATATAATACCTGTATATAATTCCTTGCAAGTGAAGATGTTGTAGAGCTAATGTAATTTCGCATAAATAAAAACTGCAAAACAAATAACATGATATAAAATGCTTTGAAAAATATAATTGAAGATATTTTCATGATTCTCACTCACCGCGCAGTATCTTCCATGAAAATTCCTTCATCATTTAAATGATGGAACAATTCACCACCGCACATATATTCCAATATCAAATATAATTTATGACCAGTTTGGAAGGCATACTTGAGATCTACGATAAAAGGATGCTGCCAGATGCAAGCATAAATAAATGAATTGATCACATATCTTGTTCAAAATATGGTATAGATAGAAGAAAATAAAGCGTTAGTTTTTATTGAAACATGTTAAAAAATTGGGAATTATAAGTATCTTTTTTATACGTACTATTAAGATTATATACGTATATATATTAACCATTTATTGAATTCGAATTACTGCAAATTTTTTAGCGTATACAAATATAACTAACCTTTATGGATTCCAAGATGTTTCTTTCAGCTCTAGTGTGAGCTGTATCTTTTTGATTTCTTACAATCAAAGCCTTGCGCAATACCTGTTTCGAACAAGACAAAAGAATATGTTGAATGATTGAAGAAAAGAGTGTTACAAATAAAAACATTTGTCAGCAGAGGATAATATAAAAATAGATACTGATTAAAGAATTTATAATTACCATTCTAGAGATAAAACTGCAAAAACTAATTACTTTCAGTTCACAATAATTGAAGTAAAATTATTAGCAAATAACAAGATAATTAAAATAAACTCATGTAGATTGCTTGTTGACAAAACTAGTGTAATTTTTTTATCACAAAATATTTATTGATCAAGAAAAAGATGAAATGCAAATCAAATAATAAAGGAAGACCAAATAATATGGACCAGGCTAAATTTTGATATCTATACTTGATATATATTTATAAAAATTTGAAATATAATTAAAGTAGCATATTGTTTATTATAGAAAACGCAATCATAAACAATGAAATGCAAAGCATAGCATAATTTGTGCACGTTAGTACGTAAATAGTGAGATAACATTCTTGGATTACTGTAATCATTCTTCATCGAAAGTATTTTTCACACACTGCTCATTTGGCAAAACATGACACATTAACATAAAAAAATTACTTAACAAATTTACGCAATAATTGTGTTACAAGGATTTCGATACCTTCATAGCGAAGATCGTGCCAGTGTCGTTTCCCGTTATTTTGCGCACTTGAAACACCTTGCCATAGCCGCCTTTTCCAATAACTTTGCACAATTCGAAGTCCTGCGGTCCGACCTTCTCATGCGTGTGATTAACATTATGCTCCGAGATCGCCACCGTCTCCACCACGTCAGACGAGCTGGAAGCGATAAACAAAAAGAATTTAATAATTTCTAAGCGTTGACGAGAAGGGTGACAAGATAGGGTAACCAACCGTCCTACATTTTGTAGGACATCTCGATTTTCAGGTCTCTACAGAAGCGTCTTCGAAAAAACGCCATTTATCCTGATTTATCACATAACGTAAATTAACATGAAATTCACTAGTACATTTAAATAATGGAGATCCAGAGTTATTCCGATATTTTAAAGTTGATATCCCGAAATTGGCTGATCAAGAATTGAAATACCAAGCGGGCGGACGTGCGTGGCACGACCGGAACACGCAAAGGCCCTATCAGGTCCTACTCACCTTACGATCTCATGCTCGTTCAGCGTGACGCATTCCTCCTGCGAAAAGGAAAACAGATACGGTCTGTTAGAATGACGGTTGACACGGTACACGTGCCGCTGTCGCGGGCGGAGGTATCGGGATTCCCATTCCCGTTCGGGAGATAAAGGAGGGCGGGAAAGGGCCTTAATTACCGCGTCGATCTCGATGATGTCGTCGTCCTCCGACTCGTCCCTGTGCGGCAATCCTGCATCCTGCAGCTCGATATCGAATATCGCGGACATCGTGGTCGCCTGCAATCGCGTCGCTGTTCACTTACACGAACTGGGGAGATGGGTGATTCAGGCGCGCCGGATCCACTCTCGCGTCTCTTCTTGCGCGGGATGTCAACACATAGAATCTGGCAGTCCTGGCACGCCGTACGCGAAAACAGCAGGCCGCCCAGCAGGCACGAGCGGGGTACGCGGAGTAGCACGACGTTCAAGACTCGGTCGCCGTCGCAGATGGTCGTGGAGTGACGACGAGCGATGACGGGAACTCGATTCGTGGAACGAACCGAATCACTCCTATCGCAACCACGCCGACTGCCCGCGGAGAGGGGCACCGTAAACTTCTCAGCCAATCGCCTCGCGCGTCGCTGCTCCCACGCACCAACCATGAAACTTCCACGCGGCGGATTTGAATCGAGCATTCGAACGTTTGAAATCTAATTCCAGGAAGTCAATTTTGGCTACTTTCCGTTTGAACAATGATTGCACCAACGTTATTTTATCTTTAAGGCTTAAAACTTTCTTCTTCTTCTTCTTCTTCTCCTTTCTCTCTCTCTCTCTCCTCTCTCTCTCCCTCTCCTTTCTCTCTCTCTCTCTCAGATTTAGAGAGAGAGAAAGGAGAAAGAGAGAGAAAGGAGAGAGAGAGAGAGAGAGAGAG